TTTAGCAATTATGTCTTGATGGGTAAAATGGAAATTTCCTCTCGAGATTAATTCAATAGCTTCATACCCAGTCTTCATTCACTGTGGTACTCATGTTCATAACTTATCATCACTGAAGTATAGCATGAGATAAACATATAGAAGTAATACACCCCTTGGTTCAGCAAACACACTGTTTAGAGCTTAGGGTTGAATACTGAAAATTCCAGCAGACCATAATTCTATCACAAAATCAACTTCAACATACTAGATTCATCAAAATACACTTGCTAGAAGATCAAAATCTTATAATATAGCAAGGCAAAACCAATCAGTGCTTGAATCCAAGAATTTATCAGAAAACTAAGTAAAACTGATGAGCTCACTGTCCATTTTTTATTTCAACATGATTTTAACAATAGCTTACTACTGAGCAAGTGTAAAAAGGTGATTTATACCTATGACAACACTCAGGAAAGGCCTCAGCACCTTGGAATAAAAAATCAATACTCAGATCAGCCCTTGTAGCAGTAAAATCAGCAGCAGCATCATCATCTCTGCTAAAGCAATCACATATCTTGAATCAGTGGGTTTTTCTGACTTAAATCATCACCAAAAACTTCAGAAAAACTTGGTCAAACAAGGCTATCGAGATATATCAGGCTGCAGCTCAATGACATTCCACTCTCACAAGGCTTAAGCCCTAAAAAGGCTATAACAACATATATATATGGACTCACAAAGTGCACAGACCTTCATACACCTACAGATTACACCTGTCTTGCTTCCTAAACCTAACTTTTATGTATTTTTGGGGATTTTAGTTGTAATTGATGTTTTGATCTTGAATAGATATAGATCTTGTAATTTCTATCTGATTTGTATGGATTAATGCTTTCAATTGATCATTTAATTCTATCCATATGTCTATGTATGCTAGAATGAATGTTCATGTGTTTTTCTCTAGATTTAATGAAATTGATGCATGTCTATGTATGCTAACGTTGTTAATCTAGTGATGGTCAAGACATGGTGCTTAATTGACTGCTCTTGTGATTTATTTGATTGTTCATACTTATTTCTTGATGGATTGTACCAAAACCTTAGTTTAATTAGCTTAATTTCCATGTCATTACCTTAGTTGCAATGTAATTGCTTTAATTTCTTAGGTAGGTGGATAATCCATTCTTGTTATTTGATGTTCCACACTTATGAATGCAAGAAGTACATTTCTATATATTTTTGTGTGTGCACTAATTGTGGTTTAATTGAATGGTTAATGGTCTCATTTGATAGTTTGTGCTACTCAATAGATTGATTAGATAATCTATTCTTATTTGCCATCCATGCTTAGTTTTAAATTGATGACACACACACTCACAAGTTACAACTTGAATTTCTCCATTAATTTACAATTGTTAGTGTTTGGTGAAATGAAACATAGTGGCAAACTCTAAGCCCCAAGACCTTTTTCTTATTACTTTCTCTAATTCTAGATTGTTACTTACTTTCATTACTTTAAGTGAACCATTAGTTAATTAATCAAATCAAACCATCTTATGATCATTTGACCTACTAATCCATCATTGATTCCAAGAATACCACTCCTTTCCCTTGGGACAATCCCTACTTACTCTAGCTACAGTAATAGTTAGTAGTGGTAGTGTCATTTTATAAATTCAAACTTTGCCACATTTCATTTCATGCACCACACTTTTGTGCAACTAGGTGACGACGACATCAACGGCCCTCAGGGCCCTTGTGGCATGCAAAATGAGGCACGAAAAATAAATAAAATAAAAATTCGAAAAAATACAGAAAAATCTAGGACATTACATTTATGATTTATTGGATTAATATGGAGTATTGGTATTAGAAGATTTATTAATTATTTATTATTTAGTTTTCCATTTAGCATTATTATTTATTTTATTATATTTCTCTTGTATTCTGTGTTCGTTTAATACCTGATTATTTTAATATCCCTGGGTCTTCTGATATGGGTTTGGCCAACTCGCACTTGAAAATTCAGGGGTATCACATTTATCACCCCTAAAGATCTTTCATCACATAACAATTAGTGACGGATGAATTCAATTATTAGGGACGGTATTGGGGCTTTTATGGACAAATTGGACCGTCACTGAAAACCTGATTTCTTGTAGTGACCCATGAACTTCATGTGCATATAGTTTTAGGAATGGCTCAGATTGATGCTTTCACAAATCCCTAGTATCAAGAAATTAAGTATTTTCAATGTAAGGAAAGATTGTGATGCTATTATAGAGAGAGAAAGAGAGTCGACAAAAACGGTTTGTAGAGAGGATTTGAAGGGAGAGAAAGGATAGAGAGAAAAAATTAAATAAAATTATTGCTTACATCAGTAAGAGTGTATTTCGGGATTTTATATATATATAAAAAAAAATAGTCAAAATTGATGATTAGGGGGCAATTTGCTCAAAAGATGGATAATACAAGGAGTTATATGTACATTTTTTTTTTTTTTTTTTTTCTTTTTGCACATAACCATATATATATATATATATATATATATTTAGAATAGTCAATATCAAGGTTATATATAATTTGGAATAATCAATTATGATATCAAGGTTGCTTGTAATATAATTGCTTTTCTAATAATATAATTGAATTAATAATGGTAGGATATTGTAAGTAAACATTGTAATTTAAATGGTTTTAAATATAAGGGCAAAGTGAAAAAAAAAAAAACCCCTAAACTATTGTCTTTTTGCAAATAACCCATTGAACTAAAAATTGCTCCCTTGAACTATTGATTTGTTGCAATTAAGGACAAACCCAACGCAAAAGACTATTTTACCATTTCTCATTAAGTCATTTCTTATTAAATTTATTTTAATTAAATTTTCTCTTATATAAATATTAGTAATACTATTTACCTTTTTTTTTTTTTTCAGTAATACTATTTACCTTAAATTTATTATAGTATCGTTTTATCATAAAAATGAAAAAAAAAAAATATTTGTAACTACCATTTTCTAAAATAATTAACTTATTATTAAAGTTTAATTATTTATGATAAAACTTTATTATACACAGTTTAAACTTTTTTATGGAAGAAAAAATACATTCTTTTTCATATAATATATTGATTAAATATTAATAAATTAATTTGATAAAAAATGCATTCTTTTTCATGTAATATATTTATGAAATTTAGAAATTAATTAATTTTTTAAAAATTTTCTACTTAAATTTTCTATTTAAATAATTAATTTTTAAATTAAAGGTAAATTTATGAAAAGTTAATGGACAATATTTCATCAAATTTGTATGTTTTTTTTTTTCATAATTTATTTTAATAAGGAAAATAGATTGAGTGTAATTCAGTAAGAAAGAACAGTATGGTCATTTAATGAAATATAGTTTTAGACATTGATACATTTTGTAATAGAATAATTTAAGAGGTATTATACACAAAATATAGTTGAAGGATTTTTTTACACTTCAACTATAAAAATAATATACAATCACGGTTCATATAAGAGCTATATTTTCGGAATTGTAGACAGAAGCGGACTCTTCATTGCCAATTTAAATGACTAGTAGAGTGCTAAGTAATTGTGGAATCCATTTTCACACCTAAAAGGGTACCAAAAATACTTTAAATAAGTCAGTTAACTTTGTTACCTTCATATATATATATATATATATTTTCCTAATAGTACCAAACATTTCTCTTATTTTAGAGTGCTAAGTTTGTTGGATCTATTTGACACCTTAGGGGTACCAAAAACACATTAAATAAGTCAGTCAACTTTGTCCCCTTAAAAAAAGAAAAGAAAAATGTTCGGTACTATTAGAAAAAAAAAAAAAAAAAAAAATGTTTGGTACTATTAGAAGAAAAATGAAGATGACAAATTAAAAAACAAAAACATGTTTGTTACTATTAGAAGGAAAATGAAGCTGACAATGTTGACTGACAAACATGTTAAAAAAATAAAATAAAATGTTTGGTATTATTTAAAAGGAAAATGAAGGTGACAATTAAAGTTGACTGACAAACATGTTAGTTACATGTTTTCAAAGTGTTAAAGTCAATACTTAAATACTGCAAAATATTTCAAAACAATTTTTATTTTTATCAAACAATATTTAAGAGGGTGATTTCCATTCCAAATCCAAATTTATTTTTAGGGTTATATATAAGGAAAAAAATTGTGTGTTATTTGGTTGAGAAATATTTTTTAATCTATAATATAATAATTCTATATAGGTAAGAATGAAAAGATAGGCAGATGCTTCGATAGTCCAGTGGTTAGTGCTTCGGGTGAATTTTGGGAGTATTCGACTTTGACTCTTTGCGCCTACTAATATAACTTCTAACCTTCTTGCTTTGTGTGAAAAAAAAAAAAAAAAAAAAAAATTGAATGAAAAGACAGGGAAAAGATAGAAATGAAAACAAGCAAGGAACTAACTTAAATTAAAATTTTATTTTTTTTTGAAAAAACACAATAAATTATGAATTTATTTTTTTTCTCTTCCACTTAATGAATGAAAAGGTTTTAAAAAAATTTCTCCATTACTTATTTTATCCTTTTCATCTAAATTTTTTCTTCTTACGAAAAGGTTTAAAAATTCTTTTCTTCCCCGCCCGGCCCATACCCTGCATTTATATTTCTTCCTAGGTCTCACTGTCTCTCTACAAGGTAGTACCTATTAGAGTCTCACACATTACTCTCTCTCGAATTCGGAAAAGTTTCTCTCTCTACAAAGTTCCTGATACAGTCTTACTCAAACAACACCATAAACAAGGTCAGATGGGAGACAAGTGTAGAGGAGGTCGAAACCATAAAATACGAGTTGCTGAAACAACCAACACCACCACGGACGACGTCATCGACGCCCTGTCCTCCGACCACCCAGTCCGCCGCCGTGACTGTTGCAATCCCCGGAAAACCTCCAAACAACCTGAGGAAACTGTAGTGACTTCTCCGGCGAGACGAATGGAGAGCAAAGGCGGTGAGGTGGCGTTGGCAATGGACGCGGTGGTGAAGGTATTTTGCGTGCACAACGAGCCGAATTTCTCGCAGCCGTGGCAGAGGAAGAAGCAGAACAGTTCGACCAGTAGTGGGTTTGTCATTGATGGGAGGAGGGTGTTGACGAATGCCCATTCGGTGGAGCACTATACGCAGGTGAAGCTGAAAAAGCGTGGTTCTGATACCAAGTACTTAGCTAGAGTGCTTGCTTTTGGGACCGAATGCGATATTGGTGAGTATTTCGGTGCCTGCTTTTGTGTCAAAAGTACTAAGCCGAATTTCTCAAGGATTTGTGTTCTGCACTCTTAATATGCTTATAATTTATGTAATTTTTTAGAGTTGATTTTTAGTTAATATATATTTTGATATACGTGATGTTGCAGCTATGCTTACAGTAGACGATGATGAGTTTTGGGACGGTGTTTCGCCTGTGGAATTTGGGGATTTGCCTGCACTTCAAGATGCAGTGACTGTTGTGGGATACCCAATTGGGGGAGACACGATCTCTGTAACAAGTGGGGTTGTTTCACGTATAGAGATTCTATCATATGCTTATGGGTCTACTGAGCTTCTAGGGTTGCAGGTTTGCAGATACGTATTATACTATTCATTGCATCTATAGTTATTCTATAAACTATTTATCGTGATGTCTCTTGAAAATGGTTTGTTTTTCAGATAGATGCTGCTATAAATCCGGGAAATTCTGGAGGACCTGCCTATAGTGATAAGGGCAGTTGTGTTGGTATCGCATTTCAGTCCCTAAAAAATGAAGATGCGGAGAATATAGGTTATGTCATACCAACGCCAGTCATCACGCACTTCATTCGAGATTATGAAAAAAATGGCGCTTATACTGGTATGTTTTGGTTTTACATTCCTTGCAAGAAGAATATATTTGTTACTCTTAATCAGCAGAAATCATATACATTGGTTTGTGCCTTGTGGGGTTTAATTGGACAAAAAATTTAATCATATATAGTTGATGTATTCAAGTACATGAATGCTTGTTTCAAAATAACTAAAAATTGCCCAACTTTCGATTGCTCTATTTTACCATCTTTTAGCATGCTTTACTTGCATTTCTACGGTAGTAACGACGGCGTTGGTCATTCAAATATTGTTCTTAATGTAAAGCTTGAAATTGTCCTTGTTTTTTCTTTTTCCAGAAGGAAAAACTTGGGGGCTAAATTGTCATTATTGCATTTTCTGTTCTAGGATTCCCGATACTTGGTGTTGAGTGGCAGAAGATGGAAAATGCAGATTTGCGTTTGTCAATGGGGATGCAACCTGATCAGAAGGGTGTTTGTATAAAAAGAATTGATCCCACTTCTCCAGAATCTAAGTTTTTGATGCCATCAGATATTATCCTCAGCTTTGATGGGGTTGATATTGGTAATGATGGAACGGGTAAGTCTTTCTCTCTTTTCTCAAAATAGTTTTCTTAATTTTATATTTTCTTTCGGGTATTATGAATTATTGAATTGCCCTTCATTTTCTAAATCATTTTTTATTCGATCTCTATTATTTTCTTTAATTCCAGTGTTGTTTTCTTTTCGTTTTAATACAGAAAAAATTTTATGCGTATCATGTATGTATTTTCTGGCTTCTTTTCTCTTGATTTTTATTTTCTTCATATAGCTTTAGTAATGGTCCTCTAGTTGTCATATTTAAGGATGTAAAAAAGTCAAGTCAAGTAGTAGCTACTGCGTTGGCAGTAGTTTCAACCAACTATGAGTTTTTGTGTATAGAGAAGAAGATGGAATGGAGCAGCAAATATTATTCTTCTTGTATTGAATTGATTTCTACTATAAACTCATTCAACAATATATAGAGTCCTCTCGTAAACCATTGGACTTTCCATACATGCACACTCTTAATACATGTAAATATTAATTGATACATGAATAAACTTAATATATGTACACACTTGAGACATGTATAAACCATAAAACATAATGAACATGGTATTAATCTAATTTTAACGTCCGTCATACTAGAGCTTGGCTTCATAAATTAATTAACGAGCTCTAAAAAAAGTTGATTTTTTTTCTTTTCTCATGAAGGATCTTATATGTGAGCTTCTAGTTGAGATGATCTTGATTTCTTCTTAGAGTATTATCCGAGTTCAACTTGAGAACCATTTAGGCTCCAAACAAGTAATAGGCAACATGTAAAATGCACATATAGTAGGCATGAGTACCTAGACCTACCAAGGCATACTACAATCCGCTATAGCCAGATGACTTATAGGAATGACTTATAGTTTATTTAAGCTTCCTACATTATGTATCCCACACAAAATGAATCTTAAATATGCTGATATTTTATTTCACAGTCAAGTAAGCATTCTCCGAATACAATTCATGCTAAACATTTAATCTCAATTGCTAGAACAATTTAAAAAGATTAAATCCATTCATTCTTTAAAAATTCAAATAGCATACATCATTATGATAAAGTCTATTTAAAATTTATTTAAACTCATACCTAATCCCTATTTAATGTTCGGGACTCCTCAAAATCAATTAAGGTCAATTTAAACACTGTTTATGAAAATTCCCCAGGTAAAGCTCGAGCTTTTATCCTAATAGCTCAAGCTTTCTATCCATGTATGGCTCGAGCTTTGCATCAATAGCTCAAGCTTCGCATTCAAGGCTCGAGCTTTTCACCCATGGCTCCAACTTTGCTTCCAAGGCTCGAGCACTGTTACATGAATCAACCCAGAAATCCCACTGTAAGTTTGTTCTTCATTGTTAAGGGTTCTAAGGCATATTACTAAGTCCCATCCACACACAAGCATGAAATTTCATAATTATAACATCTAGAAATCCATAAAAAAAATCAGATTTAACCCATGAATTTATCAATTCATATAACAAGAACAAACATGAACATAATTCATAAAACCTATATTCTAGATCAATTAAATTATAGATTCTAGTTTTAATTGCTCTTTAATAATCCCTAAAGTTATACCAGAGATAAATAGATCACAAATCAAAGGGAGAAGTGTAAAACAAGAACTTGCCTTTAGGAATTTGATAAAAACCCTAGACTCATTCTTCCTCTTTCTCTTCCTTCTTCTTCATTCTTTCTTTCTCTAAACTCTTTGTCTTTTTCCTCCAAAATATATTACGTGATTTATTTTTCAGCCCTTTTACAACCCTATAGTTATATATTTATAGACAACTAAAATAACCCTAATCCTTTTCCCAATCCAAGTCAACTTAATAAAGAAAATAATAAAATTAAAATATTAAAAAGGTAACTAAAAATATGTTACGTATATAATCTATGTATATCCTTATTATATAAATAAATAAAATACATACATCAGATTATTTATTAATATTACTGTTACCATAATATTAATTAATAAATTACTTTCCTATTATATATATATATATACATACATATACATATCTATCTATATATATACATATACAACTATCAATGGGTAATTATCCATACCCGTTAAAGCTCCTATCCAAGTAGTCCATGGAACTTAATTGGCCCATTACTACTAACCATAACCATAAAATAAAATAAAATAACAAAATAAACACTCAATCATTTAATCTATAATTAATTAAAAATAAAAAAGAAACAACTACATCAATTAAATCAATCAATTCAAATAAAACATCTAAGTATATACTTTCAACTAATCATTTAATTCAATTAATCATTTAATTACAAATTCAATTAAACACGTGATCAAATAGCCAAATAATCAAGTAAACAAATAAAATTGCAATTAAAACAATTAAATAAATTAATACCGAGACTATCCTTTTAAAATTAGGGGTATCACACATCTTCTCCATCACAATTCTATAAAGAATTGGGAAGTCACCTGTGACAACCCTAAAAATCATAAATCGGTGCGTCAACTGAGAAAACCAAACATGGCTCGATAATGAGTACGAAATACGGAAGCGAATGACCCACATTAGCCTACATGGGTAATGTGAACCCAAAGATGAACTCAATAAAGTAAAATGAGATCCAATCAATTATAAAATAACACTACATGAGGTCCCTAAACAAAAAGGAGATGAATTCCCACAAATAGGCATCTCCGGAATAAAAGATTTCATGAGCATGTCTCACTAAAATGGAAATACCTCTCACTACAGTTGGAAAATTAAAATTAGATTGACACCATTGGAAAGATGACTCAAAATCCTTCATTTTAGGCTCACCTAATTTCAATTTAAAATGAGTAAGTTATGGTCACTTGAAATCAGAAGCTTGAAACTACCAAACACTAGAAAATGAGCATGCTCTCTTTGAAAGGAGTCGGCTCCCTAGGCTGATGGAGTCTGCTCCCATTGAAAGAAGTCGGCTCCTTTCTAGAAAAATGGATTTTTGTTACTATGTTACAGTAAAATGCAAGGAAAGACACCGAGAGTCGGCTCCCTTAAGAAAGGAGGCGGCTCCCAACTTGGGAACCCAAAAAATGGCCATTATAAATGAACTCAACTGCAACAAACCTCATCCAAACTACTCCCAAGCATTTCTAATGCTCAAACATGAATAAATAAATTTCCCACTAAGATGCCTACACAAGGCAAGGAACTTTGTGAACCAAATAGTGTGTGAAACATACATTAGGTGTGTATTTAAAATATACACCATACATTGAATATAAAATGGCTTTAAAGCCTTAATAAATTTCTTCAAGTCACAAATACATTCACACATCTTAAATGAAATTACAACATCTCAAATATGCTCCTCAATTCAAATACAATATTCAGAAAAGCTATCCTATGAAATAGAGACAATTAAACATATGAATCTAATTACAAAACCAAGGTTACCACAATATGAAATGAAGACAAATATACATATACATCGATATAATATCCGAAAACAAGTGAAGAGGAAGCATCGTCCTTTAAAACTAAGCCTCAACCTGAAAGGGGAATCAATGAAGGGGTGAGCTAGAAGGCTCAGTAGGTCAATTCTAGGAACATACATGTGCTACATTTGCTTGGCTTCATAAGTGAAGTCCATGTCAACAATGCAAGGAACATGCTCCTAAGCGTCTAATTTTTAGGAAAATCCTAAAAACATCATCCTAAGCTATCATTACTGAATAGACATGAAATATACATAGTAAAACCCTCAATAAAAGTATGTAAGATCCATTCCATTCCTAGTAATCAAAACCTAGCAAATGAAATATAAAAAGTAAACAAGTTGCAACTACACATGGATGCCAATTTATAACCAAAACCGAAAATGGAAACGAATGTTATAAACCAAGTTGCAACTACACATAGACACCAAGTCAAAATAAGATCGATCTAAAATCATATATTAGGGATAACTTAGACTCACACACACATGAACACACGTTATACGCGCACCGTAAAATTTTGGTTATTAATGGACCCAAACCGTGGAAACCACCCAATAAAATAGCTGTTGTCAGTTACTAACCCGCTAGGAACTATCCTAATAGCCATTATACCAATAGGGAGCCTGAGCTCACCCGTGAGAGCCAAACCCTCACATTCTCAAAGTTAACAAAAACAGGTTATAAGAATATCCCAAAAATAGTCCATAAGGTATCATATACTATATATAGCCAAATTGCACTTCACAAGCACATATAAACGCATGCTTTCCACACGGAACATGTCCTAAAGTCCAATGCTACCATGACACCCTCAATAATGCAATGATAATAATTATGGTACGATATGACCATAACGAGCGCCAAAGTATCAAAATACAACATGCTATCCACAAAGTCTCACAAATCCACTATCACAAGTATACCGACCATGGTAGTTCACAGAATCAACAAAGTATCTTAGTCATCATTTATAATCAAAACAAATCCTGTAAATCTCATATTAGCTTTTTATCCACAACAAATATATTAGGTAACCAAATCATAAATTCAAAATGTGATTGACATTTCAAACCTTATTTTCATGAGGTTTTCAAATTCAGAGGTCAAAGATAAATTAGAACCACAAAACATGATATTATCAACATCGATTTGAAGTATAAGGAAGTGGTGTTCATATGACCTTACATAAAGAGTGTTGTCCACCTTACCTCTACGAAAATCCCTAGCTAATAAGAAGATTGTGAAGCTTCTCATACCATGCTCTAGGAGCTTATTTGAGACCAAACAAAGCCTTACTCAGTTTGTAAACATGAAAAGGTGACTATGAATCTTTAAAACCCTCAGGTTGTTCTATGTAAAATTCTTCAGAGAGATAACCATTGAGAAAATCTGATTTGAAATCCATTTGGTAAACCTTAACATGTTTATGACAAGAAAAAGATAATAGCATTCTAATGGATTCCATCATTTCAGTTGGAATAAAGGTTTCATTCTAGTCAATTCCAACATGTTGTGTATAGCCTTTGTATACAAGTCT